TGGCTGAATAATATTCCATTGTGTGTATGTACCACATCTTCTTTATCCATTCATCTAATGATGGACACTTAGGTTGCTTCCATTTCTTGGCTATAGTGCTGCGATAAACATAGGGGTGCATCAGTCTTTTTCAAACTGGGCTGCTGCATTCTTAGGGTAAATTCCTAGGAGTGGAATTCCTGGGTCAAATGGTATTTCTATTTTGAGTTTTTTGAGGAACTTCCATATTGCTTTCCACAATGGTTGAACTAGTTCACATTCCCCTCAGCAGGGTAGGAGGGTTCCCCTTTCTCCGCATCCTTGCCAGCACTTGTTGTTCCTACTCTTTTCTATGTTGGCCATCCTAACTGGTGTGAGGTGATATCTCACTGTGATTTTAATCTGCATTTCCCTGATGATTAGCGATGTGGAGCATCTTTTCATATGCCTGTTGGCCATCTGAATTTCTTCTTTGGAGAAGTGTCTGTTCATAACCTCCCAGCTGGAATTTTATAGGGATTATATTTTCTATGAACTGAACAATGTCTTCCCCCAAAATTATATGCTGAAACCCTAACCCCCAGTGTGATGGCATCTGAATAGAAGGCCTCTAGGAGTTAGTTGGGGTTAGATGAGGTCACAGAGGTGGGGTCCTCATTACAGGATGAGGGCCCTTGTCAGAGGACACACCAGCAAGTGTGCCATCTCTCTCAGTCTCTGGCAGGTGAGACACGCTGAGAAGGTGGGGCTGTCTCTAAGCCAGAAGAGAGCTCTTACCAGAACCTGGCCATAGAGGAACTGATCTTGGCCTTCTAGCCTCCGGAACTGTGAGAAAATGAACTTCTGTTGTTTAAGCCACCCAGCTGACGACACTTTGTACAGCAGCCTGAGTTGACTAAACTAGCATTACATACGTACAGCGATCTCAAGAATATTGCCATCTTAACAACATTAAGACTTCTGATCCACAAAGGTGGGATATCTTCATTTACTTAGATTTTTAATATTTTGTACTTTTTATGGTATAAATTTTACACTTTTGTTGAATTTATTCCTACATATTTTATTTTTGATGCCATTATAAATTGAACCATTTTCTCCAATTTGTTTTCAGATTGCTCATTGCAAATATATGGTGATACAACTGATTTTGGTATATGGATCTTAGACCCTGATACCCTGATTAACTTATTTGTTAGTTCTAACAGTTTCTTAGTGCATTTCTTGGGGTTTTCTATATACAGTATCATGTCATGTGTAAATAGAGATAGTCTTACTTCTTCTTTATCAATTTGGATGACTTTTAATTAATTTCCTTCCCTAAACGACCTAACATGGACCTGTAGTAAAATGTTGAACAGCAGTGGTGAGAGAAGACATCCTTTTCTCATTTTTGATCTTACAGGGAGGTAGTCAGTCTTTTACTGTTAAACATGATGTTATCTGTGTGTCTGTGTTGTTGTTGAAAGACAATTATGTGGAATACATAATCCTAATTTACACTTATTTCTTTTAGTACATAAAGGTATTATTCCACTGTCTTCTGGTTTCTGTGTTGCTACTAAAATTTCAGCTGTCAGTCTATTTACCATTTGTATGCAGGTGATCTCTATTCTCTGACTACTTGTAAGATAGTCTTTTAGTCTTTGGTGATTTGCAGTTTCACTCTGATGTGTGTAGGTAGACTTCTTTTACATTTTTTCTTCTGATTTTTATTATGTTTCCTGAATCAAGGATTTGTGTCTTTCAACAGTACTAGAAAATTCACAGCTGTTATTTCTTCAGATGCTGTCCTCCCACTCACTGATTAGATACATGTCAAACCTTCTCAGAATATTCTCCATGTGTAAATTTTTCTTTTATTTTTACTGCATTCTTATATTTCTGGGATATATATATATATATACACACACCACTTTCTTGGGTAAATCTTACAATTTATTAATTCTCTCTTCAGCAACATCTAATCTGCTATGAATCTACACATTGAGTTTTTAATTTCAAATATAATATATTTTTATTCTTAGTTTTGTTCCTTTTTCAAATCTGCGCTATTCATTATAACGTGTTGTTTCTTGCTCATTGTTCTGGGCTTTCCTTATTTGTTTAAATGTCTTGAATGTAGTTATGCTATATTGTCAGAAAATTCCAATTTATGAAGTCTTTGAGGCTTTGATTCAGCTCTCCATCGTTTCTGCTGGCCCTTCCTCCATTCCGATTTGTGTGTTTTTGACTGTGAGTTACTCATTTTGCTGATAATGTTATCTACGGAAATTCTTTGAGGTCTGGAGGAAAGCTGCATCCCTTCAAAGAGGATTATCATTTGCTCCTGACATGTGCCAAGTGTGGGACCATTTTCTTTTAAATTCTCTGTTTCACTTTTATTTTTTAAATTTACACCAAACATATGACATGGATAAAGACCATGAACCATGTAAAGGATGGATTATGGATAGACATTCAGATACAAGTTTTATTCTCTTCTACCCGGTGCCAAAGTTGGTACAGGCAAGTTTCGGTGCCGCCTCCCTCTCCAGAGACAGTTTATTTTTCCTCCATCTGTACAATGACAGTGAGGTTTCTGTAGGGGGAAATCTCAGCTTTACACAGAAGTCCCTATTAGATTCCTAACTTGACCAGGCTTTGGGCTTCACTCCCTGCTCTCCATGATCCATGCAGCCGTCAAGGTGAAAGCTCAAGGTCTCCAAGGCTTAGTGTGAGCGACAGGGTCAAATCTTCCACCGGCAATCGCCAGGACTTCTGCTTATGGTTTTGGTTTTGCTTTGTCACCTCTGTAGATTCCTTCATTTCAGCACAGTACTAAATGTTGAAAGAGTTATGAAAGAAATTCATAGAGATTTTAAATTTTTCAAAAAAGAAGGCTATTCAGGGTAACTCATCCCTACTTTGGTTATTGCTGGAAACAAACGTCCTCTCATTTGTTTCACCTCTAAGCAAGCTGATATTGAAAGGCAGAATAATAAAAATCTTTTTTTTTCTTAAAATCTCCATTAAAAGAAATTCTACAACCTCTCTGTGGTACTGTCAAGATGGCTACGGTCTTCCACTCTTTGCTTTCACACCCTGAGATGTGATGCTGCAAATCCTCCCACAAAAGGCAAAGTTTATTTCGCTATGATCCTGAATCTGTGTTTGTCATCTGACCTGTCTTAGCTAAGGGGACATAAACAAGTAGGACAGAGGATGAGGCCTGAAAGGGTCTTGCTCGCTTGTTGCACTCGGCACTGAGACCACCATGCACACACGTCCGAGCCAGTCTGCCGGAGGATGCCAAGCTGTGCGCAGGCACTCAGGTCGAGAGCCTGCCAGCCACTCCAGATGACCTGCCATGTCATCTTGACGAGGCAAGCAGAGATGGGTAGGGCCAGCACGGACTGGAGAACTGCCCAGCCAGCCCAGAGAATCATGAGCTAAATAAAAGGTTGTTTTAAACCTCTTAAATTTTGATATAATCAAAAGGTAATAAATAAATACACTCTTTTAATAATATAATTACAAAGCCATAGCTCAAACCTCCTTATGACAATTTTATTCTCTTTACCCTTTGTCCTACCTCAATTTTTGGGATGTAAAAATGGTCACTCTTTGCAATACTCTTTCCAATACTCTTGCAGATCAACTTGCACTAAAAGGGTTTATCAATTCTCAATGGAAAATTGAAATCACATTAAAATATATCCCATACATGTTTCCATAAACAAATTAGGGAATGTGAATATGTAATTTATTTGCTTAATGCAGAATCCCATAGATCCTGAGGAAAGAAATCCAAGATTTTGATCAATGGCTGGGGAAGCCAATCTTAGACTGGCTGGGGAAGACTCAACTTCAGACGTATGAGACTGAGGTTGCAAACAATTACTAAAATGAAAGGATCTGAGGGTTTCAACTGACCTTAAATTCAGTGTATGTCAATGGTGTGACGCGGCTCCTCGGGAAGTCATTTCAACATCAGTCACATTAACAGAAACACACGTAGTCTTTGTTCTATTTGCCAGACCTTGAAAACTGTGATTTGTTCTGGGCCTTATGCTTTACGAATGGTAATGACAAACCAGAATGGATCCGTGAAGAAGATTACAGGGTGATGATATAAGTTGGAATCATTTCAGATGAGGCCCAATCTAAAGACCTGCAATATCACTGATATAGGGAAGATCTGGCTATAAGGATGGGAAATGCAGCCACAGGGAAAGCACACACAAAGTGCCCATCAGACTTCACGAGGACAAGGCTAGGAGCAACAGGTGGAAGTTACAGGCTTTGCGTCAAACATGTTCTCAAGCCCCAGGGCGATTCCGCCTCTGAACGGGTGCTCTGTGGGACAGGAAGCCTGGAAGAGTTCGAGAAGGGGAGGCCGCAGAGGTATCTGCCAGGGACAGTGGGGAGGGAGGGCTGTCCGTGTGGCCAGAGCGCTGGCTGGGCTCTCTCAGCTGAGTGCCTCTTCCTTCCTGCTGCTAGTTATCCTCCTTCTTTAGGAAGTCTCAGCTCCTAAGAGTTAGGAGGTAACCCAACATCCTTTGGCTCCCAAACTACAGCCTTACTAAAGTCATTGTGTACCCTCTCCTGTGCTAAACTTAAACTCTGTGCAATGTCTTACTGTAACAGAGTAGGTGCTCACCTCAGAGGCATGCTGAAGTTTAGCCAGGAGAGTTGCTCTGTCATTTGCTCTCAAATTCATTTCTAGGCATAAGCCAGGAGTCTTTTTAGATGTGTAAGTTAAGCTTGCAAAACTGCCTTTTTCCTCCTGGGTCAGCACTGCCACTCTGGGGTCACCAAGCTCCCTCTCTGAGCCACACCCCAACATCTCCTTCCCTCACACTTCCCTCTTCACTACACACCTCATAAAAGACAATTCTCGTAACAGACTTAAGGACACTCTTCAGGACTTCAGAGCTTTCTCGACTGCCTATGTCTGCTCTGCCCGCCCTTGTGGCATGTCCTAGGGCGAAAACATGGCCAACAATCTGACAAGGGAGTGAGGGAATTCAGCCTCCTACCTTGACAGGTGAAGCATCTGATGTGGAAGTGGTTATTGTGGACCCGAACCACTTCCCCTTTGCAGGTATCTCCACATCGGTAGCACTGGATGACAGCAGAGCTGCCCCGCGGATTGTAAGGATTTTGCTGATAAGGAACTGTAGAAAGAAACACAGAGATCACCATCCAGAAAGTCCTTATTCTTTAAAAAAGTCTGCTTTCTTAACTGGAATAAAAAGCAGAAAGGGTGGGATTAGCAAAGTTCCTTCGATATATCATTGGGCAAAATATGACAACCTGAGGCATCATTAGAAGGTGAGCACGTGAAGATGCGAGTCCGTAATCTTCTTAAGCAGCAGTGACTTATGAGTGAGCACAACCTTTTCTTGTAATAATAGAGCCTAATTCATGAATGATGAAGAATAAAAGAGGAAGAAGAGTATTTCAAGGTAAGTGATACAGAAATACCACTTCTTGGGTGATTTCTGGGCTCATTTAAGATCCCAAACTTCTCAAAGGAATTTTGGGTCTTGAAATTGACATGGATCTCAAAGAAATGGGTGGCTGACCCTTCCTCCACTGGCTTTTTTATTATCTCTTAGCCTCAGTTTTCAATCTTTAAAAGGAGGGTGGTCAACAGTAGCACAGACTTTCTAGAAAAGAGACACAGGGACCGGCTCGCTGGAAGGGGGGTTGGTAGGAGGACCATCTTAAGCTGTCTTTCAATAGCACTTTCCATAATACTGGAAAATGTCAAAAGTGTGTAATTAAGAAAAAAGAGCGGGTAGTGATCATGAAGGGGCGAAGTCCTTGGGGGCTGGAGCGCAGAGGTCAGTTTGGCCTCGCTGTGGAGCTCTGCCGGCCTACTGAGTCTGTTGCTCTCCTGCTCAGCCTTTCCCATGGCTACTTTTCCAGATCTCCTTTCCCTGATACACTTTCCCCATTCTAAAATCTGGCCATCTGGGATTTAATAGTACTAGGCACCTGCATAGAACACAAAATTTCAGGGTTGGAAGGGATACTAACTGCTGCCTGGCTCAACCTCATTGTGTGTGAGCTATTGGAACGACTTTTCCAGTGAGGAACTGAATCTTCTCCCTTATAGGAAGCCCCGAGGAACACCAGAGAAAGAATCACCTGATACTTCAACTCTAACTCAAAATTACAGCAATAGTCAAAAACATCTGCCCATACCCTATTAGAAGAAGGCCCACTCCTGTCCTGGCTATAAAGAGGACCACCTGACTAGAGAGGGATTGATGGAAAGCATTTAGACAGGTAGACCTACTGGCTAAACTCTGAATAAGCATATTGTAAATTGATCTGGACTCACAATCTGGAACCTTGAACTACAAAGGAACTTAGAGGTCACTTATTTCAGAGGTTTCTGACATAGTGTAGGAGTTGTTACCTGTTTGTAGAAATTGGAATTTTTATTCTAAGCACATGAAGGATTGCATGTGGTATCACGCTTGATGATGAAATGTGAATGGAAATTGTGTGTCACTTCTAACGGGAAGCTCCAGCAGCCCATATGTGATCTTTCATATTGCCTCCTCCACAGCCCAGAAATCAGAGATACCCCCGATGGTGTGCAGGGTGTGTCAGCGTGGGTCCCTGACTGAGGCGTCTCGGAGCCGAGAGCAAAGTTGACCCACCATGAGTATGTGTCACAGGCAAGGAGGAATCTCTGTTGTCACAGCCTATAAGACTCTGCACTACTGCAGCATATCCTGACTGATTCACCTGGGATCTAATATTCCTTTCTAATTAAATAGAAAGTTTAGTGTTATGTATATTGCCTTACAGCTTTTTCAGATTCTTAAGGATGATCTCCATAGCCGATCTCATCCACTGTTCTCCTTTTAAAGACAAGGAATGGAGAAGTGGGACTTTGGATTGTCTTCCACTTAACGGGTGTCCCCAATCATAAGTGTGATGCAAAGCAAAAGGCTGGTTGCTTAGCCCCAAAACTGTTGCTTCTGACGACTTTGCTATTGGAGGTGGGAAAATAAAATCCCTCTCACAGTTGTTCTCTCATGGTGTTCTCGCCCCTTATTCAACTCTCCCCAATCCCCATCTTCAGTTTAAGACAAAAGTTAAATGACTTAGCTAGTTAAATCATTAGCTAACTACTAAATGGGTTAACACATATGAAGCATTTCAGAGAATGCATGAAGTGCTCCACAGAGTTCACTGGCATTGTGACCATCGTATTCCCCCCACAGCTGAGAACGACCCTTCCACACCCTCCAGAGGGCCCACATTCTCCTTAGTCCCATCTCCTTTTCTTCTTTTTTTTTTTCTGATTCCTGCTCAACATCCCTGGAAAATAGTTCACTCCCCTCTCTCTCACCAATTTGTGAGAAAAATATAGATCCTGTTTATATGAGCAGTGCAGTGATCCACCGTTGTTGAGGGAAACAAAGCTGTGAGTGAAAATGAAAGAACTAATACAATAATCATGACCATCAATGATGAGAGTTCTCAAAGTTATCCAACAGTCCCTCCAAAACCATGGCACAGCTTTTCATCTGCCTCTTTTACCTCAACCCGCCTTGTGGCTCAAGAACCAACTTCCCAGATCAACTAGATTTTTCCCTGATTTGATTTCTGGGAAAATGGATTTATGATCATGGTTTATGGTCAAAACTTAGACTTTGACCACTCTGATAAAAAGGCATAAAATCAGAATGAGGGGATGGGTCAGGAAAATGAGCCTTCTGGGGTAAATTACTGATGGGGCCCCCAGCCCTACTGCTGCTGCTCCGGTAATGCCGACTATGGCCAGAAATCCCCAAATGTCTGAGAATGTAAATAGTCCCATAAGCAGAAATGCATGCATTGCTAGTGCAAGTTGTTCTAGGTTGCTGATGTAAGTTGTGATTTTAAAAAGGTAAAGATGTGGCAAGATTTAAGACAGTAGATGTGTGAAGACCTTTCGTCATACAGACAGTGCCAATAGAAACTCTGGGGTCAAGGGAAGCTGTGCTGAGATACGTCACATCTGCTCCTGCCTCGGAAGCCACTGATTTCCGAAAAGATTTTGTGTACTTGGCTAATTAAATCAGCAACTTAATCTAATCTCATTCTGTGTCTGAGTAGGTGTGTATGGAAGGTGTTATTTCTTTTCACCGATCTAGAACCCCTCTGAAACACTAAAATTTTATTGTTGATTTTCTGCCAGTTATTATTTCCGCTTATTTGCATCTCAGAAAGTACTAAGTTTCAATCATGGGATTTATAACATTTGTCTTAAGGGCAAATGTCTTTTGAATTCCAAACGGACTCACACATGAATTTCTGAACTGCCTCGTATGTGAGGAACTGCCTCTTCGAGAGCAGTATGTGAGGGCGGCCAAAAGATGCAAAGGACATCAGCTCTGCTTACCTGTGAAATGATACCAGTTTAGACACATGGATCATGTGATATGTTTCTAAAATGCGTGCAGAGAATCTTCGGCTTCTGTTTAATGTTATTTGGCCAATAAAGGGTACCCAGGAGAGATATTCCCAGTGACTAGTCCTTAAGCAGCGCTGTCCAATAGAATTTTCTGTGATATGCAAATGTTCTCTATCTATGCTGTCCAATATAATGATCACTAGCCATATGTAGCTACCAGGCACTTAGGAATGTGGCCAGTGTGACTGAGGTAGTGAATTTTTTATTTTATTTTATTTTAATTAATATGAACTTACATTTCAATGGCCACATGTGGCTAGTGGCTGCCATACTGTCGGACAGTACAGCTTTATAGCTCCACAAATCGAATACTGGGGATTGAGAATGGGGAAAAACAAATCAAATCTGGTTGAATCCCATTTATATAAAAATAACATGTACAAATTAATTCAGAAATATCACCTCAGACTTAAATTATTCCTGTTTATCCCAGAACAATTTTAAAGTGGTGATTAAAAAACAGTTTGCAATAGGAACCAACTACATCCACATTCACCCATCCTGAATTTGATCTGGAAACAAGTTTCTGGGCAATTAAATAAATACTGATTTTTGAAAAAAATCACATTTCTTTAGGCACTGCAAGACTAAGCAATCTTAATCATTCCAAGTATAAAGGCAAGAAAACCAGGTGGCAGTGGCTGTCAGTATAATTTTTAAGAGAGAAAATCAACTGGTCTATGTGTTTGAGGTTAAAAATTAAGGGTCAGAAACATTAAGACTTCTTTTATACACATACCAAAATCTTTACAGAGTTCTACAGGAAAACACATCTTAATTCCATAACTAAGTTTGCAAGTAAAGCTCTTCTCGAACTCTGTACAGATCATTTAAAATTGTTGGAGGGCAGGTACATTTTGGAAGGGAGGGGTGACTGGCCTTCTGGGAAGTCCACAGAAGCAGGCACAGAACCCAGCTCCTCCTGGGCTCTTCCTCCCTCCCTGTCCGCGGTTCTTCTGGCGCACGTCTCTCTGGCAGACCGTCCTGGGGCCATACTGGGGTCTCCTTCCTACCCTGCTGCTACCCTGCTTTATAATCTGGGGCAAACCCCTAACTTCTCTGGCACCATTCCCCTCCTTAGCCACTGAAGAGACCTGTCAAAATGATTTATAAAATTCCCTCCAAGGAAAAGTGGATTCTGGCTCTGTGTCCTTTCCTGTGCTTCTTTTTCTCCCTGCACTAACTTATCTCCACCCACTCTTTTTTTAAACCAAACTGTGTTGTATGCTATCAGATTCGTCGGTCTCTTTCAAAAGCAGATAATGGCACGATTCCCTGCTCCTGAGCAGCATGAACCCAGTCACTGTCTCATTCCTAATGTGGTGGCTGCACACGTTTTCTTCCTCCCCTCAGGGTCACTTGACCTTGTAGATAAAAATGTCCTCACATCCTAATGGAGTGGTCTTTATATTAGTCTTTAAAAAGTAGAAGCCAGGCTACTCTGGGGTGTAATTAGAAGTGACAAAACTTGGAGACAGTGTAACAACTGTGAATAATTGGCTCACAGTGTAATAAAAACAGTGGAGCCTCTGGCCCAATGGGGAAACATCAAAGAGGGAATCACCCTGCTCAGCAAGAGGCCCGGAACACACCCAGGTGCCGGGTGCTGCAGTGTCGCCTGTTGGCTCCCCAAGGCTTCATTAGAGTCCAAAGTACCCTGAGTGTGTTCACAGGTACTGGCTAAATGCTGAGGAGACCCACGTGGATGCAGGCATTTCACAGGTGGAAAGCCGTCTGCCTGAAAGGTTTGGGTGGGTTTTGCCTGTCAGAGGATCTGGTAGCTCATGACAGGCCCTTGGGGTTGACTTTGGAGTGGAATCAGGGCCCAGCACGGATCCTGTTCCCTGTGGTGAGGCCAGAGACATGGGATCCGTGCCTGGGAAGGCGTGAGGAGCCCGGGGTGCAGGGGCCACAGTGTGGATGCTGGAGTCAGGAGGGCAGGGCCTGCATCCTAGCCCTGCTGCTACCTGGCCATGAGGCCTGGGGCAAGCGTTTGACACCTGGCTCATGTCTACAGTGGGAGTACCTCAGGCCACTTGTGAGTATTAAGTTACTTAAGTAATATAAAAGTGTTTACTTAGTACTCTGCTTGACATGTAACCTGGGCTTAATAAACATAAATAGTAACTAACATTAAAGGATCTCTGAAGCCATGTGTCCCCACCTCCAACTCAATGTAGGGATTCTTTCTAAATTACCTTGCTTCTTGCCAGTAAGCTTTGACTGAACATTGTCAAATCCATTTTTGGAACAGTCCAGCCTGGGCAAATGTTTTCTGCTTTTCCCTCCCTGCTGACTGTGAAGAAAACACCCCTTGGTTGCAGCCCATCCCACCACCTTAAGCAACCTCTTCTTCCTCCCCCCATCTCTGAGCTCTCTCTGTTTGCGTGTTTCCCTGGGCTGCAGAGGTGGGTGGCTGACATGTTTTTGATATATCCTGCAGAGGAATGTGTGAATTGGGTGTTTCCTGTTGTGAAAGGCTATGATCTATGTTATCCTGGGGCGCCGTATTTTGGGCACATCAGCTGTTTCCAGGAGGACGTGTTATTGTGTTTGTTGTGTGTGCATGCTCAGAGCACGTGAGTGTTTTGTTTTCTGAAAACTCTGATGGGGGACTGGGAGAGCTGCTTTTGGTAACCCCTAAGGGTTGTCATATTGTGCCATGACATCTGTGTCGCTCATGCGAATTCCTGGAACCAGAATTTCAGAGCAGAAAGAGCCTGGGGGGTCATTTACACACACTTGACTGTGAGCACCCTGAGGTCAAGGACCGTGTCTACCCTCTTGGACACTGTGCCCTCAGGGCCAGGTACGGAGTGCTTAGTAACTACGTGACGAACAACTAAAAGAATAAATAAAACGAGTCCAGTGGTTTCACTTAACAAATGAGAGAGGTGGAGCCCAGAGGGGACAAGGGGTTCCCCGAAGTTCACACGACAGTTTATGCTCATGTGGGTGCGCGAGGGCGTGTGTTCTGGCATAACAGGACAAAGGGGCAGACCTGGAGGTGGGCAGGCTGGCACAGAGCCCCAGGGTTAAGGAGAGGCGGGAGAGAGCTCATGAAAGCCTAAATGACCATCAGTCTGGAGTTATGCTGAGGTTTAGCGTTGGAATAGGTGGGCTGGGCATCCATCTTCCAAGATGAGGAAGCGTTGAAGGGGGTTTGGAATGAAGCCATTGAAGAAGTTGAAGGGGTAAATGCATAAGGAAAGATATGGGAGAATAATAGTATTTAGAGAGTGATTACCCGGTCAAGAACTGTGCTCAGCAATTTACGTATGTCATTTTCATCACCCAGGAGGAGTTATTATCATTATCTTTACTTTATAGATGAGGACACTGAGGCCAATCCAGTCACTTGTCCAAGGTCATAGTAAGTAAATGACAGAGGTGGGATCTGGCTCCACAGTCTGAGTCTAGCACACCTGTGTTCTCATCACCAAGCTCTACTGCTGGCCACGCACACGTGCCACCAACAGTGGTTCCCTCTGGGGAGGCCTAGACTTGGGAGAGGCCACAAAGAGTATCTAATTCTCCCCCCAACAGTAATCACTCATCCATTATCCATGTGATTTAAAATATGTGTGTGTGTGCGTGTATTTCACAAAGATTTAAGAATCATGATTGGTGGGTACTGGAGCACAACCAATAAACTGGGAACAGTAATTCAGCCTCTGGGGCAGCTGATGGAGAAGCCGTGACTGCCACCCGCAGGCCAGCAGGTGTCAGCCTTGAGCAGCTCCCCTGGCGTGGGCAGGTCGTGCCTGTGGGAGAGGCAGGCACTGCTGGTGCCGGCAGCTGCAGCCCAGCGGACGTGGGAGACTGGGCTTGCTGGGTCCCCGTGCAGACGGCCCCAGCCTGGCTGCAGCTTCCCATGTCGACAGGTCAGCCACACAGTCTGTCACTCCAAGGCGATATTATAAATGCTCAGCTGCAGCAGGAACTCCCCCGCACCTTGCTGCCAGTCTGGTCAGCGTGTTCCACAGTCACAGTGTAGCTGGTAACACAGCTCACGCGGCCTTCTTCAGAAACAGGGTGTCAGGACATGTGTCAGAACGGCACGCGTTTGGCCAGACCGTCTGCTCCTGCCTGACAGCCAGCTGCCATGCTGCAGCCACGGCAGGAAGGGTCTGGGTTAGACCTAGATGGGCCTCCACTATGCTGGGCATCGTGGGCAGGGGGGCCCGGCTCGCAGCCCCCAAAAGGGGCGATGTCCCCTTCACCTGCCAGTGCGGTCACTAAGGAACTGGGCCCTGCATTCTGTTATTCATTTTTGCAAAAGCTCAGAAAGCTGGTTCAGATATAATGTCACACAATTATGACAGAGAATTAGTTCACTTATTTCTGTATTAATCTTATGATTATAAAAGAAAAAATACTGTATGCTTCGGATTGAATTCAACAAAAGACTTCAAGGTTTTTTTAAAAAAGTCATTTCTTTCTTTTAGCTCAACTTTCCTATTTCAAGATAAGCAGAAACTAAGTTTCAGCTGGTCTGCCCCCCCATCCTCTCCCCACCTCTGCTGTTCACATGGGCTCAGCCCAGAGGGCCACACAGGCCGCTTTCTAAGGACTCAAATAGATCTGTGTGTTCACTTCTTTCTCTGAGATTCTCCTCCCCATCTCTGGGCCAGAGAATCATTTTTGTTAGCTGGGGGTAAAGGAGCCCTTTCTGTCTGCTCTAATTGTACTTTCTCTAGAATACTTAGCTTTGTAATAAGCCCTTCCTGTTTTAAGGGCACAGACTTTTGATCAAAAACCAGGAAGAGGCCCCTCTTGTCTCTGCCTTCTGCTGCCCATCCAGGCCCTGGGGCCATGCTCACTGAATAGAAGGCCGGTGCCATTGGGGTGGATGAAGGAAATACCAGTCAATATTTCAAAAATACCATCTTGTCATACTTGGTCATGGGGTTTTAAGAAAATGATATACAGAATTGTATAGGACAGGCTGGGGAATAGACAAGATCTGATGGAGACGGGGAAAGTCCCTAGGGACCGGCCAGCCTTGGCATTTCTCACTTTGGAGCAGCTCCTGTTGGTCAACATCAACTCCCTTGTCGCCTCTGACTCTGTCCCTCACCACCTTTACAAAATTCCCAGTCAGGGACACTGAGGAGCTATAAAAACAGCTGACACCAGCAAACATTAATCGGGCAATTCCTATGTGCCAGCACCTATGCTAAGTGCTTCATAACTTTCACTTTATTTAATTCTTACGACTCCACAAGGCAGACACCAGATGATCCCCGCTGCACACTTGGGCAATCTGAGGCACAGAGAGGTTG